GTTGCCCACAAGAGTAAGGGGTATTATTCACTGGGGAAGCTGCGCGCTTTATGGTTAACCTCCGGCAATTTTGTGAGCTGTCCACGATATTTTTAGCATATATTTTTTTTTTTTTAGAATGCGCATTCTACTCTTCCCAGCATTCTACTTCTAATTCAAAATAGTCACGGAAAAAACGGCAAGTGAAGGTTACGCCAAAACCAACTTTCGAGTTTCCCCGCGCTTTTCTGGGTGAGATCAAATGTCAAACAAACAACCAAAAACACGGCATTTCAAGAGCTTCTTTTCTTTTCTTTTTTTTTTTTTTTATTGTTTCGCTGGCGCGAATTTTCCTAGCATTCATTTTATACCATCAAACGTTTTGTGACCCGTCAGGGACAAGCTATAACTACGACTACTACCACAATAGACAACATTTTGCGTTACGCTTTCGGTTACGCCAGTAAAACCTTTCAGCCTCAGACCAAACTTAAAAATGCAATAATTTCGTGAAAAAGGAAAGGATTGTTGCTTGTAATTTGAGTTATTAGTTCAGATGGGTCTATTAATGTGTTGATCCAATTTTGGCGTAAATCAGGGACTATCAAAATTTCGTCAGAGAACGCGCTGTAGCGAGCGTTCGCGGCACACGATAAGTTGCTTCACTCCCCGCCGTCCCCGATCATGCAGACGACAATTACGCGCGAAAACCGTCTATTGCATCTTTCAACATAGTTGGCACACTGCCATGCTTTCCTGCCTTCCGTTCCACGAGAAGATCGAGAATACACAATGGGAATATGAAGAGCAACACCGACAGCGTTGAGAAGGCGGGGCTTGTCATGCAAGGAAGCTGACAATGATCGGTCCCAGTTTGCTCGGTGATATAAATGAAGTTCCGACCCAAAAACCAAGAAAAGACGGGACTGCAAGAAACCTAAAGCCCCTTGATAGAATTCACTTGAGCCTGAACAACCCCTCCAGGCAGCGGGCGGTGCGTGACAATCATCTTGAGCCAGGACGACGTGGTGCTAGCAGCCTCAAAAGCAAAACAAAAATCTGCTGTTTTTTTTTTTTTTTTCTCGCGTTTTTTGTGGGTGTTTCTTTTTTGTTTGCTAGGTTTAGCGATTGAACAATGCCATCGCCGAGTTGTCGGGCTGCAGCCGTCGAATAACGAGATAAAATGGTGTCCTCCCGCGCCCTCCGTGCCATGGCAAGGACGGCAATGTGCCATGGGGCCCAAGGGAGCCAGGGCCCTTCATACTAGCTATGGGGGAACCAATGCACAAAGGAACGCATTCCTAAGCGGGGGGTTCGGTGGGAATTCGGTGCGGCGATTGAACCTCTTCGAGGCGTCCTTTATCGTGCCCTCTTTGCAACAAGTATACGCTGGAAATATGTCTTTTGTAACGCAATGATTAACGCTGTGCAGACAGTGACGAGATGTCGGAATCGGTAGGTAATAATGTCGAAAAACAAATCATGACGCATGAAGCGTGACCTAAAAAGTCACGCCTTGTTGGCTATAGCATGTCTCAGCTAGGACGCCTACAGAAGCATAGCTTGGGACTTGACAAAAAAATGTAAACAGCATGTCTCAGCTAGGATGCCTACACAAACATATACTGTATATTGGGACTTGACTAAAAAAAAATATACTTGGGAAGACTCACGAGGCATAATTCGGCTTTTCTTTCGTTTGCTTTGCCAACCATTGTCCTCAGTCGGGCACGGATCTCAGAAACCGATGGGAGTACCAAACAGTGGTCAACACCTGAGAGTCATTCCTTCACTACTCTCTCCTCGTGCAAACAGCGCACTGAAACGGACGAAGGTCGGTTTGCAAGGTTCTGTCCCTCGCAGTGATGGGCGATCCCCTCATTGCGGTGCAGGAAGGGCCAATGGAACAGAGGAAGGCTTTGAGCTGGTTGTAGCAACAACGTTCAGAATTCGCCAGCTCCATTTTAATATCATGTTCTGAACTATGTCGCGGGTTTAAAGCGAAATGCAAGTATTATGATTACACAAGAATGAAACCATTCATAGTGACTTTTGGAAAGACGGTCGCTGTAACGCGAACTGTCATCGTGGCCCTTCTGAGAGATACTGGCTGATCGACGTGCGACTTCTCGGTAGTGCTGACAAAGGTTGTGGCGTCGAGAGATGTGGCGAAGAGCAAATGGCAAGGATAGCATCGTGTTTCTGGCTCCGTAAACACGAGGCGCAAAAATAACTCCTATCACTATTAGCCTGTTACCGTACGAGCTCCTTGCTGATGAAATACTGTAATTTACACCTACTGATTGCCCCGCTTCATTTTACGAAATCACTCCAACTTGTTTAACATACAAAACTAAGGCTGGGCGTCCATGAAACATTTTAACCCGATAAATTGAAACTCTTTAATCAATTAATCAGTTTCGCTAATTTCGATGCATAATATATTTACACCCTTTGTCTTTGCTCATTTTTTTTTTCATTATTATTATTATGTGACAAACGACGCAATGTATACTTTTTTCACATTCAACTTTGGTGTGTTTTTTGAGAACAGTTCAAAAAAACTAACTACAGCTTATTTTTACAGTTGTGGAGGCAGAGCATTTCGTTTATATCCTCTGGCAGGAACGAGCTCATTTGCTCGTTCATAAGTCACTGCTGCGCTAAACAGACACTCGCTTGGCGCTGAAGTAAATAACAGTGTGAGGTGTAATCTTTTCGCTTTGCGGTGGGTTGCAAACGTCGCCTTTTACATTACATTTAAAGGCCGACGTACACTTCGTGCTTTCCACTTTTGCCCTCCTCCTCCTTTTCTATGTCCTCTACTTTTTACCTTGCCTCAGCTTGGCTCCCCTCACAGTTAAGGAGAGGGAAGTGTTTGTTTGTTTGTTTATTTTATTTTTGACACAACTGTCAGGGATTATCTTCCCTGTAGAAAACCGAGGCTGGTGCGTCGGCCTTTAAACTTCGCCTAAAGTTTACCCGTCATATTGGTGTACTCCTCCAGACTGTGAAGCGTCTAATACTGACACTTCACAGTAAAAGTGGCGAAAGATACGCCGCGCCTCTTCCCTTTCAAGGAACGAAGTTAAAATTTAGCGTTGCTCATGTGCCCTCGACCCAACCAACTGCAAATGAGGCCACTCGTTAAAGGAAGGCAGAAGGCGGGAATAATTGGTTGCCCCGAATCCCTGAGTAGAATAGAGCGAAAAAGAAAAAAAACAAAATAACTTAGTTTGTGCTTTTGGTCCTTTTGGACTAATCCTCTATCGTTGCTGGGCCCAGTTTCGACTACAGTAAGTCCTGTTGGTTTCGGAGGGCGCCCAGCGATTTTCGTCAAGGGCTTGGACGGCGTTCGGCGTGTGCCAAGGAAAGGCCACACCAGGCCCTGCGGCTGCAGGGAAACTCCGTCGTCGGAATGTCCCAAATTGGCCCCGTGAAGATCCAGTCAATTGTCCAGCTGAGCCGCCAGGGTTCTCTCTCAAACCGTCGCCAGTGAACGACGCATCCCCCGGCTTCCCCGTCGACTTTGGGGGCAACGAGTTGCCGTTGGTAAACAACTTGGGGACTTTAGATACATAAAATCCATGATCAAAATAACTTGACTACTCCGAAATTCAGTTAAAATCAGTGGTCTTTTCTTTTTTTTTTTTTTTCATTTTTGAGTTTGCGATATAAGGGAAACGTAAATGTTATTTTTCTTTTTTTGATTAAATTCGACTGATTAACCGGTTACAAAATTTATCGCAATTAAAGGATTAATCGGAACGTTAATCGATCAATCGCCCAGCCCCAAAAATGATAAGCTCGCGGTGTAGAGGCTTGGCTCACACTCGCAATTTCTTCGTCGTGCCCAAATTGTTTGTTGGATTGCAGCCACGTAGAAAATCCCCTTTCTATGAATTAGTAGAGGTTCCGCAGGCCAACCACACGTTAGAAAAGTTGGGGTGCGTCATTTATCAAGATACTATTACATTGACCCCATTCTAGATAGCATTAGAACTGTGTCAAGTAACAAATTCTTGGGCATATCCAAAGTGTTTGTTCGTTCTAGTTAACTTCGTGAGGCAGTTGAACAGCTGAAACGTTCTAAAACATTGACACCGTGTCGCTAACAAACATAAATAACAAAACTCCGAGAAAAAAAAAAAAAGGTCGCATACGTTAATAAAACGTATTCAAATACTTCCAAAATAAGAATGGCAATATAATTTATCAGCTTCCTTGCTTGGCTTCTTGACTCAAATAAAACAATCAACTAAAATGCCAACCAAGACCTACAGAACAAATCGCGGACATATACAATTCGATTATTACAATTGAAACAATACGCGAACCATCAACGGTGCACCTGTCCTACTAATCCAAGAGGGCGACCTAATTATGTTCATTGAACTAACGAATCGCCAGCGTCCTGCCACGCAATATTCCCTGGCACGCACGTGTCGATCAAAAACTAAGGTGCTTCACCTTTCCCGCGTCACGTGCCCCAAAGGCTGACACACGCCGCCGCAGGAACATGCATGAACTATTTACAAAACCGGATTTTCTCATCGTCGGACGTGAGCAGCAGCGATTCCATCCACCGCGGCAAACCGTTCTACTCAAAAGCCACCGCCAAAACACCGATAATCGCGCACCACTACGAGGTCTTCGTTCTCAAGACGCAACGCTGAAGACAGACAGCGCCCGAATCATCAAAGAACCGCGCAAGCGCCAAGAGACCGAAAATTTGAAGGTTGAAGGCGCGCGCATTCCAAACCGATGATCGCCACCGCACCCGAACGACGCCGATCTCGGAAGGCTACGGTTCGCGGGCGTCGCTTTCTTTGTCCCCCTGTCCGAGTTTTTTCGGCAGGACCGGGGGAACAACAAAGGGTCTCGGGCAGGAAGAAGCGTCGGCCCCCCTCCCCTCCCCACGCTCCGGAGCGGGCCCACACCTAGCCGCCACCGGAGATTCGCGACTGGCTTCGGCAATGGCCACTAAGAGAAGCTACGGGAAAACAATCGGTATTACTCACCCAAGCACACCAACGAGGCGAGGAACACGAGGACTTCCATTGCGGCGGAGATCGCTGATTTCGTAGGGTCCGTCGAATGGCAGTGGGCAGGTAGGAAAGACAAGCAGGCGAGCGGTGCACCGATCTACAAAACAGTGCGCTCACTGCAGCGCCGCAGCCGTTGGACGTTGCTCGTTCGCAGGCTTCACAAGCGGCCGGGGCGTCGTCGACTCTTCGTTTTCCCTCGCCGCTTCCCTCTTTCCAGTTCGCTCGTACTTCCTTCTACCTTCTTCCTTTCTCCCTCGCTCTCCCGCCGCAAAAATATTCGAAATAGTCACGTGACACGACGTACCTGAAGATCACGTGACGGTGTCGTTTTCGCTCTCTTTTCCTTGCTGGGAAAGGTAGGGGAAAGAGGTCGCGGGAGAGGGCTTCCTGGCGGCGGCCACCTGTTCGGGCACCGCGAAACCGAAACGGCGCTTCAGGAACGAGAACGAATGGAAGGGGGTGTCGGTGGCGCCACCTGGGAACGGGCGCTGAAGAACATCTGTCCTGGCGGGTGATTCGCTCCTTCGCGTCGCGTCGTTGTAACGTGAGAGGGCTTGTCTGGAACAGTGTTGTACATCTTCAAAAATAACGAAAGTTAGTTCCTCGTTCCTTCTGACTTTTGGAACGCGTTCCCGTTACAAGGTCTTTATGCGAAAAAGGAGCTGTTCCCCTTACAGTTTAAAAAATGGAACGCATCGTTACATATATGTTACATTTGTATTTTGCTGACTACCATATTCAATTAGATAAAAGTTGTTTTCTGCTTTTTTTATCAATCCCATCAAATGACAACATACGAATTTGAATGTAGTGATGGAAGGACTCCAGGGACCCTAACTGGACCCTTGGCGGGAAAGTCGGCGAGTAATCGGGCGACTGCGATTGGCCGGCGCCAAAGTCAAGTACGGTGTCAGCCAATCACGGTCGCTGGATTTCTCGCCGACTGTTTCGCCAAATGTCCAGAAGAGGGGGGAGGGGGGGGGGGGGGCGATTAGCGGCACCGCCCCGGGTGCCGCTGACCCTAATGATGGCGCCACTGGATAAAAGTGCCGCCAAGAAGATCGACAGCGACACTCGCGTACGCTCGTACTTTATGCTGAAACTTCTACGCCCAAACGCTAGGATCGCGACATCCGACAGCATTACAGGCTGGTTTCTGTGACATCGTTTGTTGCCACTTTGAGACCACTTTTGATGTATGGGCAGGTTATGACGCTAAACACACTAGTCGAAGACTCCTTCCAGGCGCCAATGCGAGGGATGCCGGTAGATGTCAGCAAGAAGTATAGGTAACCTTTTGTGGAAAGAGGGTGCACGTTCTCTCCGTTCGAATCAAAAAGCAGGCACGTAGCCAGGGGGCGGCCCATGGCACCCCCCCCCCCCCAAATCTTCCATTTGAGACCTCATCTCCCCCTCATACAGCATTCTGTCATGGGCGCCCCCCCCCCCCCCCCCCAAAAAAAAAAAAAAAAAAAATCCTGGCTACGTGCCCGTGTCAAAGCAACCATGAGCCCCTTCTCAGTGAAGGCAGGTCACAGAACTTCAGAACACTTGGCTGGTCACCTGACTGATTCTATTGAGGCGTCAGTCCCTAGTCCTTGTACTTTGTTGGCCACAACGTAGTTCGAAAAATTGTGTCGACTTGCAGCAAAATGTAATATCTTCAAGGGCAGAGAGTTCGGGTAGGGTAGAAAGGAGAAAACGAACTGGTCATATATTTCTCTTTGACCTTCCGTATTGCTTAGGTAGAGTAGACTCTTCCGCAAACCACGATCATGATGACATGAAGTGTGCACTTTTAAGTTGTTGCCAGAAATTGCTAAAAAAAAACAAAAAAAAACTATTTTATGTTATTGTAGTGAGTGCGCAGGCGAGCTGGTGGAAATTAACCATTCTGATGTTAGCCTGAGACTGAGGCAGGAAAAGAGGAAGTTTCAAAGTAGAAGAAAAAGGAACAGTCGAGGATACGTCTCTAACACAGCTAAAGACAAGTTTATTCGGTCACCCTCTTATATACACTCCACAATCTTCACCCCAGAACCTTCGCGACCTCCAAAGCCAAAAGATAACAAAGAACTCATCTCTTTCCACCACAATAATCAAACGACCTTGACAATCCTACGAAGCCCCCTCACCAACACAACCTAGCTCCTCTCTCCCGGAAGACGATCGACCTTCGCGTACATAGCACACCCTCCTCCTCTCCTCCCCGGCCCACAATCTCGAAACAACCCCGAAACAAACGACATCAAATCCCGAAACAAACGACATCAAAAGGGTTGTAAAGGAAACAATAAGAATGAAATCAATAGGCAACTGCATTAGTCAAGTGTCGTTACAGCTTAGCAGCAGTGCAAAAACCTTCTTGCGGATTTGAGAGTTTTGTTAAGTGGTTGTTGATTGTGAAAGGGTGTAAGTGGTTCCTCCTTTGTGTCTTTGGTTTGGATCAGGTGGATTGGTATCTTTTGTTGCCGGGTTGTTTCGGGATTGTGGGCCGGGGAGGAGAGGAGGAGGGTGTGCTATGTACGCGAAGGTCGATCGTCTTCCGGGAGAGAGGAGATAGGTTATGTTATAATGCAATTAAATGCAAAGGTGCAAGCGAGCTGGACAAGATTGACGAAATTAATCCCTGGAGAAGGGGAGCAAGGGGGACAAAGGACAAACATAAATCTCCATACAACAGCTAGGTGACTGGTGAGCGACCGAAAAAATCCGCCTGGTCCGGGTATCGAACCCGGGACCTCTCCATTACAAGTGGAGCGCTCTACCAACTGAGCTAACCAGGGGTTAGACGTCAGTAGAGCAAACGGGTTTTATCAGCTGCCACCAGTCTAACACCAAACGGGGTGAAGCTTGCAAATTTAAGGTTATGTTATAATGCAATTAAATGCAAAGGTGCAAGCGAGCTGGACAAGATTGACGAAATTAATCCCTGGAGAAGGGGAGCAAAGGGGACAAAGGACAAACATAAATCTCCATACAACAGCTAGGTGACTGGTGAGCGACCGAAAAAATCCGCCTGGTCCGGGTATCGAACCCGGGACCTCTCCATTACAAGTGGAGCGCTCTACCAACTGAGCTAACCAGGGGTTAGACGTCAGTAGAGCAAACGGGTTTTATCAGCTGCCACCAGTCTAACACCAAACGGGGTGAAGGAGATAGATTCACCCCAAACGGGGTGAAGGAGATAGGTTGTGTTGGTGAGGGGGCTTTGTAGGATTGTCAAGGTCGTTTGATTATTGTGGTGGAAAGAGATGAGTTCTTTGTTATCTTTTGGCTTTGGAGGTAGCGAAGGTTCTGTGGTGAAGATTGTGGAGTGTATATAAGAGGGTGACCGAATAAACTTGTCTTTAGCTGTGCTAGAGACGTATCCTCGACTGTTCCTTTTTCTTCTACTTTGAAACTTCCTCTTTTCCTGCCTAAGTCTCAGGCTAACATCAGAATGGTTATTTTATGTTAGCAGCGGGATTGCATTTTTGTTACCACTCGATTGAGCAACTGACGTTTTTCTGGCTAAAGAGCGCAAACTGAATGATCGACACTCAACGTGAGGACGCAAAGGTACCTGTAGCTTTGAATGCACTATCAGAGGAAGTTGTCCTCGAGAATAAATACATTAGCAGTATTTGTTCCGAAATAAACTACGGTACCATTTGTAGTATTTCTTATTTAGTAATCGAAAACTTCAGGGAAACCCCAAGATAGTAGACCTATACCATGACCTGGATGAGCATCGTCACTTACTGAATCACTATACTACTACATGAAATCTGTTGGGAAGCGGTATCCACATGTACCTTAAAGGCAGACCACTGCAACATCGTTGTCTAAACGTTTAGGCGTATAATTTGCTTTACTTCTGCATGTATCTGTTCATGGTGCTGTATATATTTCTGCGCGTATCTGTTCCATACACTCCAAAAAAAATTCGTGCTTGAGAGGCCCTTCAACGCCCCAAGAACTCCTTCAGCTCGCAAAAAAACGGGTTCGCCTCAACCACTGTCGCCCCTGGGGCACTAGAAAGGCAGCTGGGCAATGAAGAACTCCTCCGCATTAAACGAGGAGTTTAAAAGAACCCCTCGTGTTTTTTCACAAAGAACCTTTTTAAGGTCCGTTCGCACTCTTGCGACCGAGTACGACTGAGAGACGAAACCGGTTTTTAAGCCTCTTGCGATCTCTTAGGACCAGCTCCGCTGCACCGCATCCGGTCCTAAGAGGTCACAAGAGGCTTAAAAACCGGTCTGGTCTCTCTCGGTCGTACTCGGTCGCAAGAGTGTGAACGGGCCTTTAGGGGGTTCTTAAAATAACTTTTAGGCTGCAAAATATGGACCAACCAAAGAACCCCGAAAAGTTTTTTTACGACCAGATCTTTTTTTTTTTTTTAAGTGTACACATACATCTCTAACAAGCCCAGCCCGGAAATATTTACCACAATCCATGGGCTTGCCGACGTAAACCCCGACCTATTCTAGCTAAACGGATGGAACACTGAGCACTTAATTCTTCTCTTGCTCCATTCCCGATGCCTTAGTTTTTCCAATCCTCATCAGGAACTTCTTGACAAGATACGGATCTTGTGCGCAACTGCAGGAGGGCTTCCTCTTCAATCATTCAGAAGATGTGTAAGTTTATTGATCGGGCGCTCGCTCAGCACATCACAAGTAGATTTGCTAGATTGTAGGCAAAGTTCCAGTCTGGGAAGTTCTTACTGATCGAAGAAGAGTTGTCAGAATTATCTAGGTAAAAATATTCTGCTCACCAATCAGTGCAGGGTGCCAATAGAACAAGCTTTCATATTTATGATATTGAATAAATTTGGAGGCAACGCTTATTCAAGGAATTGGCGAAAAACACCAATCTCTAATGTTGCTCGTGCTACCGAGCTGTTGGTCCTCGCCCATCGTGACCGAGTTTGCGTTTTATATAAACATAACCTAGATTTCGTCGTCTCAAAAAACAATCAAGATGCAATAACTCGAAAAAAAAGTTGCAAAGCGGTGGAAGCCATGTTGTTATTCTACTTCAGAAATCGTGGTCTCCTTTGTTATTGTCACTATCCTGCGGAAATACGGTAGTTACCTGAGAATGAGATGTAGGTGCATGGGGGTGGGGAAGGACAATATTTTTTCTTGATTATTTTTGTCTCCGCGGCTCTCAATCCGAAGCCATCGTTGCATCGACACCTCACTTTAAAAGGCTGGTCCTCCCTAAAACCATCCGCAGCAAGGTAAACCGATGCACAAGTAAAATATCTACTGAAGCGACGCTTTTCACAGCCAAAAGTGGCTTCCACGCCAAGCGTGTGTGACGAGCTCGTTTTCGAACTTCAGGCATGCTTATAGTGTGTCTCACTATCTGCGTGCAGTACAGGCAAGGTAACGCCAGGCGAGTGGAGAAAGGGCA